CCGATTTGCCGACCTGCCGACTGCCGAAGTCCCGCTATCCTCCCCCCATGCCCGAAACCATCTGGCTCAACGGACAATTCACCGACGCCGCGAACGCGAAGCTCTCCGCCTTCGACGCCGGCGTCCAGCACGGCATCGGCCTCTTCGAGACGCTCGCCGGCGCGAACGGGGCCGTCGTCCACCTCGACGAGCACCTCGCGCGCCTCGAGCGCTCCGCGAACGACCTCCGCCTCACCGAGCGCCTCCGCACCGGCCCGCTGGGCGAAGCCGTGCAACTCGCGTTCGAGAAGAGCGAGTTCGACAGAGCGCGCATCCGCCTGACGATCACCGGAGGCGACCTCAACCTGCTCGCCGCCGCGCGTCAGGGGGGGGCCGGCGGCGGGGATCCGTCCATCCTCATCCACGTCACCCCCGCGACGCCCTATCCGGACGAGATGTTCGACAAAGGCATCACCCTCACCGTCGCGGACACGAAGGCCAACCCCCTCGATCCCTTCGCCGGGCACAAAACGCTCAACTACTGGTGGCGCCTGCGCGAGCTGCAGCGGGCCGCGACGCGCGGCGCGGGCGAGGGCCTCGTGCTGCAGGTGACCAATCATGTCGCGGGCGGCTGCGTCTCGAACCTCCTGCTCGTGAAAGGCGAGACCGTCATCACGCCGATCGCGCGGGGCGAAGAATCGGGCGGCAACGCGATCCCGTCGCCGGTCCTCCCCGGCGTCACCCGAGCGTTCGTCCTGGGCAAGGCGAAAGAAGCGGGCCTGACCATCGAGAAACGCCTCGTCACCGTCGACGACGTCCTGGACGCGGACGAGGTGATGCTGACGAACTCGAGCTGGGGGGTGCTGCCGGTGACGAAGGTGGAGTCGCGGGAGATCGGGGGTGGGGGCGTGGGTGATGCGACGAAAAGTCTGCTAGCGGCGTGGCGCGCTGTGCTGGGGTTGGAGACGTAGGCCGGTTCTCGAGCGAGCACCAAGCCCACCCCCCTTGGACTTCAGTTGCCGTGTGTGAATCCCTCGAAGTCTCCCAGCCCACCGCGAGCTCGCTCCTGGGCGAGGTCGAGACAGTCGGCGTCCTCGTCGAGATCACGGGCCGCAAGCGCGACCGGAGCTCCATGGACCTGCTTACCGGCTGAAACCGCTCATCCGGAGAGCCGTTGCTGTTTCTCCGATCCCCAAAACCCCCTCCGCAACGCCAGAATCGACGCGCGGCCCAAAAAATCGCGCCTTTTTCCGTCTCGGCGCTTGGACAAGTGACCGTTGGTTATTTATTATCTAAACGTCGTTTACTTATTCGAGAGGCCCAGCCATGAACTGGATCAGAGCACGACAACCCGATCAGATCGCCGAGCGGAGGAGCGACATCCTCACCTCCGCCGCCGCGATGCTCGAGGTCAAAGAGCTCGAGTCCGTCACCCTGGGCGACATCGCCGAATCCGCCGGCATCTCCAAAGCGAACATCTACCGGTACTTCAGCTCCCGCGACGAGATCTACCTCACGATCTTCGTCATGGAACGCGAGAGCTTCGCGCACGAACTAATCGAGCGGATCGGACGCTGCCGAGCCAAGGACCGCATCTCCCGCATCGCGGAGATCTGGGCGGAAACCGCGCTCGCACACGTCACGCTCCTCGAACTCTACCCGCGTCTCCACACCACCCTGGAACGCAACTCGTCCGTCGACCAGATCGCCGAACTCAAGAAGACAGGAGGCGCCATGCTCCGTCGAAGCGCCGCGGCGCATCACGCGCTCGTCCCCGAGATCGATGAATCAGCCTGGTACGGCATCACACAGGCCTCCGTCGCGCTCATGACCGGCTTCTGGCACTTCGTGAACCCGGACGAAAAGGTACGCCTCGCCATGTCTCGACCCGACGTCGACCAGCCATCCATGGACTTCCGCTCCATGTTCGTCTCCTCCCAGGCCGCGATGATCCGCGGCCACGTTCCCCGCGTCTGACGGACCGCCGCGCAGCGAGCACCACGACCGTGCTCGCGGCGCGGCCCGTCTCCCCGGTGAGCCGGTAACCGGCGCCGGACAACCCGATCTGTGTCCTCTCTCCTCAGGCCGCGAGCAGCCGCGGCCGTGTGCCCTGCGATCGACGCTGCTGTGTGAAGAGCCCCCCCTGACTGCTCTTCATGCGGCGCGTCTTTCGCGGGTTAAGCACACCCCGCTTTTCTGGTGTTCGACCGGTCACTCCCCGGTCTTGGAGACCACCCGCACGTTCTTCCGCCCCCCGGAGCCCCCGTGCGACCTCGCCCCCTCCGAGATCGAACGGATGGCGCTGCGGACGAACGCGTACAGCACCGCGAGCAGGATCACGATGAGCCCGATGAGCAGCGCCGGCACGATGATCAGCAGCGCCACGCCCACCACGAACGCGAGCATGAGCACGCCGGCGATCCGCTGGCCGAGGCTCGGCGCCCTCCAGGCGCTGCGCCCGACGTGCATGCTGCGTGTCCACACCGCGCGGGCGTGATCCTTCGCGCTGCCCGAGCCGGCGACGTTCCCGCCGCCCGACCAGCCGAAGCCGTCCCACCCGAACGGGCTCGCCCCCTCACCCCGCCCGCCGCCGGTGCCCCATCCTGATTGTTCGTTTTCGGGCATGGTCGAATTGTAGGGGAGGAAGGAAGCGAGATTTCAGGGGGGGCAATGGGCAGTGGCCAATGGCCAATGGGGAAGAAACGCAGAGATGCCGCTCAATTCCACGACCCCATTGCCCATTGGCCATTCCCCATTGCCCTCTGCCCCGTGAACATCCTGTCACCACCCCCAACCCCGCCAACACGTCGGGTACCATGGCCCTCCGCAGGACGCACACCCCATATTTCGACGCCACACGGGAGGATCCCACCACATGAGCGACGCGACGAACGACACCCACGCCATCCCGCGCGAGGAGCAGTTCGTCCACCTCCACCTGCACTCCGAGTTCTCCCTCCTCGACGGCGGCAACCGCGTCGACCGACTCGTCAAGCGGGTCAAGGAACTCGGGATGGACTCCGTCGCCGTGACCGACCACGGCAACCTCTTCGGCGCGATGTCCTTCTACAACACCGCCAGGAAGCACGGGATCAAACCGATTCTCGGAGTCGAGGCCTACGTCGCCCCCGGCCCGCGCACGGAGAAGGTCCACACCGGCGTCATGGACGGCGGGTTCCACCTCGTCCTGCTCGCGGAAAACATCAAGGGGTGGGAGAACCTGCTCTACCTCTGCTCCGAGGCGTACCTCTCCGGCTTCTACTACAAGCCGCGCATGGATCACGAGCTCCTCCGGGCGCACCACGAGGGGATCATCGCGATCAATGGCCACCTGGGCTCCGAGATCGCGTTCCACCTGCTGGAGTACGAGAAGACCGGCGACGAGGCGCACTACACAAAGGCCCGCGAGGTCGCGCTGTGGCACCACGAAACCTTCGCGCCCACCGACGCCGGGCCGCGCTTCTTCGTCGAGCTCCAGCACCACGTCCCCGAGCAGAACGCGATCAACCCGCACCTCATCCGCCTCGCGCAGGACCTGGACCTCCCCCTCGTCTGCGACAACGACGCCCACTTCCTCAAGGCGGAAGAGCACGACGCCCACGACACGCTCATCTGCATCTCGATGGGCAAGATCAAGGACGACCCCCAGCGCCTCCGCTACACGCCCGAGCTCTACGTCAAGTCCCCCCAGCAGATGCGCGAGCTCTTCGAGGGCACCTACGGCGCCGTCGGCAAGGAGGCGCTCGACAACACCGTGAAGATCGCCGACCGGTGCAACGTCGAGCTCGAGTTCGGCAACCACGCGCCCGTCGTCCGCGTGAACGCGCCGAAGAAACCCCGGAAGTACAAGGGCGAGGCCGACCTCACCGCCTGGTTCAAGGCCTACTGCGCCGACTACACCGTCGACCCCTTCGACCCGGCGCAGGACGACACGCCCGAGTCGAAGCTCGAAAAAGAGTGCGACGACGCGCTCCGAAAACTCTGCGAAGCCGGCCTCATCTGGCGCTACGGCGGCGACTTCGCACGCCAAGACCACGACACCGAGCACGCCCGCGAGGTCCGCGCCCGGCTCGACCGCGAGCTCGGCATCCTCTCGGACAAGCGCATCTCCGCCTACTTCCTCATCGTGTGGGACTTCGTCAACTGGGCGCGCCAGCGCGGCATCCCGGCGAACGCGAGAGGCTCCGGCGTCGGCACCATGGTCGGCTACCTGCTCGGCCTTTCCAACGCCTGCCCCGTCCACTACGGCCTGCTCTTCGAGCGCTTCACCGACCCCGACCGCGCCGAGTACCCCGATATCGATATCGACCTCTGCCAGGACGGGCGCGGGGAGGTCATCAACTTCGTCCGCGAGAAGTACGGGCACGTCGCGCAGATCATCACCTTCGGGACGCTCAAGGCCCGCGCCGCGATCCGCGACGTCGGCCGCGTGCACAACATCCCGCTCCCCGAAGTCGACGCCATCGCCAAGCTCGTCCCCGAGACGCTCAACATCACCCTCGACCAGGCGCTCGAGCAGGAGCCGGACCTCCAGGCGAAGTACGACGCCGACCCCGTCGTCAAGCGACTCATCGACACCTCCCGCGTCCTCGAGGGCCAGGCGCGCCACGCGTCCGTGCACGCCGCGGGCGTCATCGTCGCCACGCGCCCCCTCCACGAGATCGTCCCGCTCTACAAGCAGCCGAACTCCGACGACGTCGTCACCCAGTGGGACGGCCCGACGTGCGAGAAGGTCGGCCTGCTCAAGATGGATTTCCTCGGGCTGCGCACGCTCTCCGTCATCGAGCGCGCCAAGGACCTCATCCGCTCGACCCTGAGCGTCGAGGAGATCTGGAAGTCCATCCGCACGGACTCCGAGCTCCCCGACGAGAAAACGATGCGCGAGACCGACCCGCTCGACCTGGAGCGCCTCACCTTCGACGACACCCGCGTCTTCGACCTCTTCGCGCGGGCGGACACCACCGGCGTGTTCCAGTTCGAGTCCGGCGGCATGCGCCGCCTCCTCACCGAGATGCGCCCCGACCGCCTCGAGGACCTCATCGCCGCCAACGCCCTGTTCCGCCCGGGGCCGATGGACCTCATCCCGGACTACAACTCCCGCAAGCACGGCGCCCAGGCCGTGCCCACCGTGCACCCCATCGTCGACAAGTTCACGGCCGAGACGTACGGCGTGATGGTCTACCAGGAGCAGGTGATGCAGATCGTCCACGAGCTGGGCGGCATCCCCCTGCGCGCCGCCTACTCGCTCATCAAGGCGATCAGCAAGAAGAAGAGCGAGGTCATCGACGCGAACCGGCCCAAGTTCGTCGAGGGCGCCGTCGAGAAGGGGCTCGAGAAGAAGGCCGCGGACGAGCTGTTCGAGCTCATCCTCAAGTTCGCCGGCTACGGCTTTAACAAGTCGCACTCCACGGGCTACGCGATCGTCGCCTACCAGACCGCGTACCTCAAGACGTACTTCCCCGCCCAGTACATGGCGGCGTTCCTCACCTACGAGTCCCAGGCGCAGAAGGTCGAGGACTGGATCAAGTACAAGGACGACTGCCGACGCACGCGCTTCCCCAACGGCGATGTCGGCATCGACGTCGCGCCGCCGGACATCAACCTCTCGCAGGCGGACTTCTCCGTCGTCTACGCCGACGACGAGCCGCGCGACGCCAACCACGGCCACATCCGCTTCGGCCTCAAGGCCATCAAGGGCGTCGGCGGCAAGGCGATCGACGCCATCATCGACGAACGCACGAAATCCGACGACTACCGCTCGCTCTTCGACTTCTGCGAGCGCGTCCCGCCGGGAACGGTGAACAAGGCGACCATCGAAGCCCTCGTCACCTGCGGCGCGTTCGACTCCGTCCACTCCCGCGACGAGCGCGCCGCGATGGTCGCGACCATCGACTCCGCCGTCGCCGCGGGGCAGGAGGCCGCCAAGGACCGCGCCGCCGGCCAGTGCGCGCTCTTCGGCGCGCCGGCCGACGACTCGGACGCCGGCGCACCGGCCGAGGAGCAGCCCGACCCGCCCCTCGCCCGCGCCCAGCCGTGGGACGAGACCGAGATGCTCCAGCGCGAGAAGGACGTGCTCGGCTTCTTCGCCAGCGCCCACCCCCTCGAGAGCTGGGCGCCCACCATCGCCGAGTTCGCCAACGCCACCGTCGCCGACGTCAAGACCATCCCGCAGGACCACCGCGTCATCGTCGCCGGCATCATCAAGTCCGTCCGCCCCATCACCACGCGCACCGGACGCAACCCGGGCCAGCGCATGGCCATCGTCACCTTCGAGGACCTGCACGGGACCGTCGACGTCGTCCTCTTCTCCGAGACCTACTCCAAGTACGGCAACGACCTCACGACCGATTCCATCTGCTTCATGCAGGGCAGCGTCGACCACTCCCGGGGCGACGCGCAGATCATCGTCGAGAAGGTCACGCCCATCGAGAAGGCCGTCGGCCACCTCGCGACGCGCCTGGAGATCGAGATCGACGAGGCCGAGCTCAACGGCACCGGCATCAGCGCCCTCGACCAGCTCTCGGGCATCATCCGCTCCCACCGCGCGATGGACGTCCACGCCGTGAGCGTCCCCATCGCCTTCACCGTCGCGACGGAGACATCCGTCATCACGATGCAGTGCGACAACAGCCGCGTCGCCTGCGACAACACCCTGGTGAAGTACCTCGCCGACGTCGTCGGCGAGCACCGCGTCCGCGTCCGGGGCGGCATCCCCGTGACCGTCAAGCCCCGCGAACGCAACAACTACCGCCGGCAGAAGCAGACCGCCGACGCGTGAGCGACAGCGGTAGCAACCGCGACCGTGAGGGAGCGGACGCGCCCGTGCTAGCCGTTGTGAGTGCGCTCCCGACCTCTCCCCCGGAGGTGGGAGAGGTCGGCTGACGTGCGCCAGCCGTCAGCCGGGTGAGGGGGTTCGTTGAGCGTGCGATCAGTCAGTGAAGGAGCGCTGCTGCGCAGCGAACTTGAGTTGGCCCCCTCACCCGATCGGCGGCTGGCGCACGCCGATCACCCTCTCCCACCGCTGCGCGGGGGCGAGGGGGCGGTTTGAATCCACTCTTGCAAGCACGGACGCGTCCGCTCCCTCACGGTCGCGGTTGCTACAGATGCAACGCCCTACAAATACTCCAGCCCCAACCCGTGCATCTCGTCCCCCATCCGCCGACGCGCGCTCGACCAGTTCCAGTGCGCCGCCTCCTCAACGAGCCCGCGACGCACCGGCTTCGTCTCGATGAGCCGGATCACCCGCGGGATCTCCTCGTGCTTCGTGATCACCAGGTCCTCGTCCGGCGCCGGCTTCCACAGGTGCACCGAGCCGAGCGGGTCCGTGATCTCGTCGAGCACCTGCGCCCGGATGTCCCGCCACCGGCGGATCAGCCGGATCGCGAAGCGGTGCTGCACGAGACGGATGATCTCCAGCGGCGACGGGTCGTCCACGCGCGGGTAGCAGAAAAAGTGCGCGTGCTCAGGCATCACGCACCACGCGAGCAGGCTGAACGGCTTCTTGCGCGTCACGATCTTCACGTCCTGCACCAGCGCATCCTTGATCTGCCGCTTGCCGAGCAGCGGCAGGCTCCGGTAGCACGAGACCGTGATGAGCCGCGCGCTCCGCAGAGACTGATCCCGCTCGGACGACGGCACGTTCCCGATCGGGACGTCGCTCTCCTCCAGCGCCTTCGTCGGCACGTACCCCTCCGGCGCCGAGAGGTCCAGGTCGTGCAGACCCTCGGGCGCCGCTCCCGGCTCGTCGTCCAGGTGGAGCTCGTCTTCTTCCTCCTCCTCGTCGACGAGGCGCAGCTCCTCCTCGTCCTCGCCGGCCGGGTGCGGGTGCGCCGGGTCCGGGGGCGAATCCGGGCGTCGGCGCGTGGGGTCGTGCTCGTCGGGCGTGTGATCCATGGTTCTCATAAGCGTATACGAGCCCCGCCCCCGGACGCGGTTCCACGAAAAGACCCGATCAACGGCACGCGGACCCCCACCGGTACAATCCGCGCATGAAAGCAATCATCCTGGCGATGCTCGCGGGCCTGTGCTGGGGCGTGGGCGAGGTCTTCACCAAGTCCGTCCTCCACACCGGGAAGATCGGCCCGATCACCGCCATCGCCGTCCGCTCGACCGTCGCCCTGCCCGTCCTCTGGCTCGCGTACTTCGTGGCCGTGAAGGCCATGAAGCTCGAGCCCGCCACCTGGCGCACCGACGCCGACCCCGCCACCCTCGCCAGGCTCGTCCTCGGCTCAGGCCTGATCGCCGGCGCGGGCGGCATGCTCTTCTTCTACGCCTCCCTCCACGCCGGCGAGATCTCCCGCGTCAAACCCATCGCCTTCACCCTCGCCCCCGCCGTCGCCGTGCTCATCGGCGTCCTTCTCCTCGGCGAATCCTTCAACCCGCGCAAGGCGATCGCGCTAGCGATGATCCTGAGCGGGGTGGTGCTGCTCACCGGCAAATAAACAGCCGCGGCCACACGAACGCGGCCGCGGCTGCTCTTCGATTCCCTCGCTCAGCGCCGCGCGCTCATGCCGCGTCGCTCTTCGGCCCGCGCCCCGCGTGATCCGCCACCGCCTGGATGTGTCGGTGGTCCGTCCCGCAGCAACCGCCCAGCACCGTGAGGTGCGGGAGGATCCGGCGCAGCGCCGACGTCCGTCGACCGAAGTCCTCCGGGTCGCCGTAGTCCGGCTCCGTGCACGCCTCCAGCTCCTCGTGGCTCTTGCACGAGGCGTTGGACATCACGCCCAGCAGCCGCTCCGACCACGGCCCGGCATCCTCGAACACGTGCGCGTAGTGCGTCGGGTGCGCGCAGTTCACCATGTAATACGCCGGCGAGCCGCCCGTCGCCTCGTCCGTGCGCTCCACCGCCTCGCGGAGCGAGACGCCCGACGGCAGACGGCCGTCCGTCTCCACCGTGAAGCTGATCGCGCACGGCATCCGAACCGACGCCGCCGCTTTCGCGATGCCGATTGCCTCGTTCACATTCGTCAGCGTGAAAGCGGTGACCAGGTCCGCCGCCGTCCCCGCGAGCGTCTCGATCTGGTCCGCGTGGTACGCCTGCGCCTCCTCGGCGGTCATGACGAGGTCCGCGACGTACCCGTCGCGGCGCGGGCCCACGGCCCCGCACGCCACGAGCGGCCCGACGCCCTCGCCCGCCTCCGCGCGGGCCTCGCACACCAGCTCCACCGCGAACCGGTTGATCCGCCGGATGTCCTGAGACGAGTAGCCGAGCTGCTCGCCCCAGCCGCGACTGGCCCGCCACGTGTTCGTGCACATGAGCAGCCCCGTCCCGGCGCGGCGTGCGATGTCGATGAACCGGCGCTGGTACCGCCGGATGAACTCGCGACCCTCCTCGGTCTCCAGAACGGGGAACGCCGCGAAGCACGGCAGCTCGTACCCCTCCTCGAACACAAGCGTGAGCTCGAGCCCGCCCTCGGTGAGCAGGGTCTCGCCCCGGAGCTGGGGCAGGTCGTAACGGTAGATGGGTTGTTGCATGGCATCCTTCTCCTGTTTCCACGCCGGTCGCGGGGCTCGTCCCCGCGATTGGGAAGCCGGCAGACAGCAGAAGGTCACCGCGAGCGCGACGCGTTGCAGGGGTAGAAAGAATATTTGGCTGTAGCAACCGCGACCGTCAGGGAGCGGACGCGTCCGTGCTTGCAGCTATGGCACAGTCTCCCACCTCTCCCCCGCCCTGCGGTGGGAGAGGTCGATCGGTGTGCGCCAGCCACCGATCGGGTGAGGGGGCGCGCAGCGGTGTCCTGAACGTCGACGGTCGATCGATCACTCGACGAACCCCCTCACCCGGCTGACGGCTGGCGCACGTCAGCCGACCTCTCCCACCTCAGGGGGAGAGGTGGGGAGGTGCAAACACCACTGCAAGCACCGACGCGTCCGCTCCCTCACGGTCGCGGTTGCTACCGCTCGCTCACTTCCCGGCCTGCGGGTACACGATGTACCGATCGTGCACCTCAAGCGTCAGGTCCGCACGCCCGTCGCCCGTCACGTCCTGCACGATCGCCGCGCTCGGCTCGAACTCGCGCGAATCGCCGCGGTTGAACAGGCGGGACTCGAACACCTGGAACTCCGTCGCGAGGTACAGCTTCCGCGACGCGCTCAGGGTGTAGATCTGGCACATCTGCTCCCGCGCGTCCAGCACGACGAGGTCGACGTACCCGTCCGAGTTCAGGTCCGCGACCTCCATCTCGTGCTCCAGGCGGTCGTCGTCGTCCGAGCGGAACGCGGCGAACTCGTCGAGAGACACGCGCTGCCCGCTCAGGCGCACGATCGCGAAGCTCGTCCCGCTCAGGCACAGAATGTTCGGCTCGCCGTCGCCCATCAGCGAACCCGTCCGGATCGCGCCGAGGTCGAAGCCCGTCATCAGGAGCGAGCCGATCACGCCCCACGCCCCCTCGTCGTCCGCCGCCATCAGGATCAGGCGGTTGTTCGCGTCGTCCGAAGCCACGATCGTCTCGCGTCCGTCCAGCTCCAGCACCGCCACGCCCTGCAGCTTCGCGCTGGAGTCCGGCGTCGTCACCTGGTCCACCACGCGCCAGCCCTTCTCGACGCTGAACGTGCACGCGCGCACGAAGTTCTCGTCCGCGATCAGCAGCTCCTCGTGGCCGTCGCCGTCCACGTCGAGCATCGCCGTGTTGTCCGGGCCCGCCGCCTGCACGAGGCCGAACTGCGGCATGTTGTCGTCCGTCAGCACTTCCGCCTCGCCCTCGACCGAGCGCACCATGATCATCGGCTCGTTCGGCGTGAACAGGACCACGTCCATCGCGCCGTCGCGGTCGTAGTCGCCCGCGATCATGCTCTGCGGCGGGCGGTTCACGTCCGTCAGCTCGATCACCTTCACCTCGGCGCTCCCCGGGCGGTGCACCTCCAGCCAGTGGTCGCGCTTCTCGCGCACCACCACGCCCACCGCCGGCCCGCTCGTTGTTTGCATGTACCCCATCGCCACCGGCGTCGCGCCGGCCGTCCGGATCTGCAGCGGCTGCGGGAAGCCGATGCGGTCGTTCTTCGGGTTCATCTCCGCGACGCCCACCGCCTTCTCTTCCTCCGAGAGCAGGAAGACCTCCAGCTCGGGGTCGTCGTCCCACTGCCCCGCCGCGACCGTCTTCGGCTCCTTGAACGCGCTGTACGACTCCGCCTTGCCCAGGCCAGAGCCGCCGATCTGCGCGTGCAGCGCGATCGCGTTGCCCGAGCGGTCCGTCGCGATCATGTCCGTCAGGCCGTCGCCGTCCACGTCCGCGAGCACGACCGAGCGATCCTTGTCGTCCCCGCCCTTGAACGAGTACACCTCCGCGATCGCGTCCGTCTCCACCAGGTCCTCGCCCAGCTCCAGCTCGATCTCGCTCGTCGCCAGGTCGTACAGCACGATCCGCCGGCTCGCACGCTCGATGATGCCGATGCTCGCCGCGTCCTGACCCGGGATGCGCACCGGCTCCAGCTCGCGGATCGGCGGCATCTCGAAGCGGATCTCCGCGCCGAGCGACGTCGTCCGCGCCCCGCGGTCCGCCTGCTGCAGCCAGAGCCGCACGGGCGACGCGTCGTCCGGGATCGCCGCGAGGATGTCCAGCTTCCCGTCACCGTTGTAGTCCTCGATGAAGAACGCGACGATCTGCCCGCTCGTGCCGAGCGTCGTCGGCTCCCCGAGCACGCCCGCCGAGCCGAGCTCGTAGATGTTGATCTTCCCCTCGACGAGCACCACCAGGTCCTCGCCCGAGCCACCCTGCACGTTCGCGATGCTCAGCCCGTCCTGCCCCGCCGAGATCCCGCGCACGCGCCGCTTCGACCCCACGTCGAACGTCATCGGCGAGACCTGACGCATCACGACCAGCTCGCTCGGCTGACCCGCGTAGACGATGTCGAGCAGACCGTCACCGTCCACGTCGTGCGCACGGAACGCCGTCACGCGGTGCGCCACCGAGATCTCCGTCCGGTCGTACCACCGGCTCGGCGCCAGCTCGTTCACCTTGTAATCCCGCTCGATCTCCGCGTCCGTCCGCGCCCGCTCGCGCTGCGTGTGGATCTCGATCCGGCTCTTGCGGTTGTTCACCACCGCCAGGTCGACAAGACCGTCGCCGTTGAAATCCGCCGCGAGCGCCGGGCCGCAGTCGTCGTCGATCACCAGCGTCCGGGCCTCGTCGAACCCGAAGTACCGCGCCAGGTCCGTCGACGGCTGGGCCGCGGCGGAGGACGCGAGGGCGAGCGGCGCGAGCAGCGCGAGAGCGAATCGTGCTTTGTTTGGCATATGATAAGTTTCCTCGGAAACGGGGCGGTTCTGGTGCACCGCATACTCTACCGGTGGCGGACGTGACGCGTTTCAGCCCGCGAAAGACACGCCACGCATCCACGGACGCCCCCGTGCGTACTACGATTGGGCTTCCAGAATTGTTCCAACAGCACCGAACGGAGCGAGATCCGACGATGAACACCGCACGCACACTCACCGCCGCCCTCGCGGCCCTCCTCGCGGCCGGCGCCTCGCTCGCCGCGAGCGACACCGTCGTCCTCAAGGACGGCCGCTCCATCGTGGCGCCGATCCTCAAGGAGACGTCCGACAAAATCTGGCTCGACCTGGGCCACGACGTCGTCGCCGTCCCGTGGGACACCGTCGAGTCCGTCGACCGCGCCGAGGAGGACGCCGCCGCGTTCACCGGCGCCGACGACGACGCCCTGTTCCGCACCGCGACCGGCCTGCCCGATTCCACCCCGCGCGCCCTCGCCAAGCGCATCGGCGACGCGGTCATCAAGGTCTCCACGCCCTCCGGTCTCGGCTCCGGGTTCATCATCCACCCCGAGGGCTACGCCATCACCAACGCCCACGTCGTCCAGGGCGAGACCAAGCTCAAGGCCACCATCTTCGAGGAGACCGACCGCGAGTTCCGGCGCGAGGTCATCGACGACGTCGAGATCCTCGCCGTGAACAACCACGTCGACCTCGCCCTCATCAAGGTCCCCCTCGGGGACCGCGAGAAGTTCCCCTTCGTCTACGTCCAGGGCGCCGAGTCGCTCGAGGCCGGGCAGGAGACCTTCGCCATCGGCAACCCCCTCGGGCTCGAGCGCACGCTCTCCCGGGGCGTCATCGCGACCACGCAGCGCGCCTTCCAGGGCCTCGCCTTCATCCAGACCACCGCCCAGATCAACCCCGGCAACTCCGGCGGCCCGCTCTTCAACCTCAAGGGCGAGGTCATCGGCGTGACCAACATGGGCATCCCCGCCGGCGAGGGCCTCGGCTTCGCCATCCCCGCCCGCTACGTCCGCGACTTCCTCAACAACTACGAGGGCTTCGCCTACGACAAGGACAACCCCAACTCCGGCTACAACTACCAGGAAGCCCCCCCGCGCTCCGAGTACGGCACCCCCGCCGTCCTCGACGACGCCACCGGCAATCAATAATCACACGAACACGACCGCCCTCCGCGCGGCACGCGGAGACGGCTCAACGCTCACCTTTCCCTTCACCCCCAAGGAACCATCCATGGACCGCATGACACGAACCCTGACCGCCGGCGCGCTCGCCTTCGCGTGCGCGCTCCCCGTCTGCGCGGCGGGCTACACCATCGCCGACATCGCCCCCGCGAACGCGATGATCGTCGTCGGCGCCGACGACATGACCGCCGTCAAGGCCGCCTTCGACCGCACCGGATTCAAGAACATCTGGGACAACAAGGCCCTCCGAGACTGGGCCACCGACGCGCTCGGTTCCCAGATGGAGGACATGAAAGACGAACTCGAGAGCCTCGGCGTCGACGTCGACGAGTTCATGGTCGCCCCCGAGGGCGCCATGGGCTTCGCCGTCTGGTTCAACGACGACCCCGACGCCGAGGAAGAGGGCGGCATCCTCTTCTTCGCCGACTTCGGCGACAAGGCCGACGGCTTCGAGGCCCAGGTCAAACGCCTCATGGACGAGGGCGAAGAGAAGGGCACCCACACCGTCGACACCGTCGACTTCGGCGACACCACCATCTGGCAGATCGAGGCCGTCGAGGACGAGGACGACGCCGACGACGCCGAGGAGTGGGAAGACGAGTGGAACGACGACGCCTGGATGGACGAGGGCATGGGCGGCGACGCCGACCCCCTCGGCATGGGCTCCGCCAACGTCGCCCGCATGGGTGACACCATGTTCGTCTGCTCCGACCTCGCCCAGCTCGAGCGCGCCCTCGAGATCGTCGAGGACGAGGCCTTCGGCGAGGGCCTCGCCGCCGACCGCGACTTCCGCGACGCCATGACCGCCATCGGCGACTCGCACGTCTACGTCAACATCCGCGCCGGCGACATCATCGATCAACTCGCCCAGGACTTCGCCATGTTCGCCCCGCTCATGGAGCAGGCCGGGCTCACCTCCATCAACGGCCTCGCCATCGGCGCCAGGCTCGACACCGACGACGCCATGCTCGAGGGCCGCTACGCCGTCCTCGCCCCCGAGAAAGACGGCCTCGTCGCCCTCTTCGACAACCCCCCCATGCGCATCGCGCCGCCCGCGTTCGTCAACGCCGACGCCGCCACCTTCAGCGCCTTCCAGTTCAACTTCGCCCAGCTCCTCCCCACCGTCGAGCGCGCCCTCAACGCCATGCCACCGGCCGAGGCCGGCCAGGCCATCATGATGTTCGAGCAGCTCAAGATGACCATGGGCCCCCTCTTCACCTCCATCGGCCCCGAGATCTACACCGTCGCCAACATCGCCAAGCCCTACGACGCCGAGAGCCAGAAGCAGATCCTCATGATCAAGGCCTCCGACGAGGCCACCATCAACCAGGTCGTCGGCTCCCTCGGCGGCATGATGGGCCTCGCCTCCCGCGATTTCCTCGGCAACACCATCTGGTCGCCCCCCGCCGGCGGCGGCATGCTCGGCCCCATGCCCACCATCGGCATCGGCTCCGGCTACCTCTACATGGGCGACGAGGAGGGCGTCGAGAACGCCATGCGCGCCGTCTCCAGGGGCGCCGGCGACGGCCTCGCCGACTCCGCCTCCTTCAAGAACGCCGCCGCCACCATGGGCAACGAGGCCGTCGGCTACGGCTTCACATCCACCAGGCAGACCATGGAATACACCGAGTGGACCATGAAGAACATGCGCGAGATCATCGAAGCGCAGATCATGGCCCAGCCCGGCATGGCCGACCTCGACCCCCAGTGGCGCGAGGACATCCTCAAGGAAGCCATGGCCGAGGTCCCCGAGTTCATGCAGAACATCCCCTCCCTCGACACCGTCACGGAGAACATGGGCGACGCCGCCTTCGAACTCCACGCCACCGACCGCGGATTCGAGGGCCGCTGGATGATCCTGCGACCCGGGAAGTAACAACCGCGACCGTGAGGGAGCGGACTGCGGTCCCGAGCTCTCCTTCACAGCAACGGATACACCACACAAGCCCTCCCAACCGGGAGGGCTTTTTCGTGCGCGCAAGCGCCTGGAGCAGCCGCGACCGTGAGGGAGCGGACGGTCCGGTGCTTGCAACTGTGGTTGCGCACCTCCCCACCTCTCCCCCGGAGGTGGGAGAGGTCGGCTGACGTGCGCCAGCCGTCAGCCGGGTGAGGGGGTTCGTTGTGCTCCCGCGAACCGTCGACGTTCAGGTCACCGCAGTGCGCCCCCTCACCCGATCGGTGGCTGGCGCACACCGATCGACCTCTCCCACCGCCCCCGGACAGGGCGGGGGAGAGGTGGCCTACACCGCGCACAACACCCGCCCCTCCCGTCCCACAAACACCCCGCCCTCAACCACCTGCTCCGCCACCAACACCTCGCGCTCCCCCACATCGAGCACCACGAACGCGTTCGGCCGATCACGCACCCGGCGCGTGCACGGGCTGCCCACCTGCACGAGCGCCACGTCGTGCGCGCCCGATTCCAGCTCCTCCGTGTGCGCCCCGATCCACTGCCGGTGCAGGTGCCCGCACAGCACCGCGTGCACCCGGCGACGCCCCAGCACGCGCAGCACCTCGCCCGCCCGCCCGATCACGCGGAACGCCGGCAGGTCCTCCGGGATCACGAACGGGTGGTGCACCACCAGCGCCCGGAACCGCACCCCGCCGTGCGCACGAAAGAACGAATCCGCCCGCGCCACCTGCTTCCTGGAAAGGAACCCGTGCGACCAGTTGAACGACACGTTCCACGGGCGCGCCGAGTTCAGCGCGAGCACCGCGCTCGTCTCGTCCACGAACTCGCTCACGCTCTCGCTCCCGACAGACCGCCGGTACCGCGCGAACGGACGCGTGAACCGCTCGAAGAGGTTCGCCACCGGCATGTCGTGGTTCCCCGGCGTCGCGAGAACCGGCGCCGGCATCGCGCGCACGAACTCGCGCGCCGCCTCAAACTCCCGTTCCCGCCCCGCCATCGTGAAATCACCCGAGATCACCACCAGGTCCGGCGCCAGCTCGCGCACGCGCGACACCGTCGCCCCCACCAGAGCCGGATCCTCCGCGCCGAAGTGCACGTCCGAGAGGTGCGCGATCCTCACGACGACCCGCCCGGCGTCAGCACACGCAACGCCCCCGGCCGCACCTCGAACTCCAGCGGCGTCCGCAGCTCCACCAGCTCCCCGTCATTCGCCACCGTGACCTCGCTCTCGGCGCACCGAACCGTGAGCCGCGCGCACCGACCGCGGTCCATCTCCGGGTCCAGACGCGGCGCCCCCGTCATCAGGCTCGCCGCCAGCTTGAGCGGCGCGAGGCTCCCGGAGTGCCGGCTCGCGTACACGCCCAGCTCGCCGCCCGTCAGGCTCGAACGCCGGTGCACGCCGTCGAGCCCGGGGTCGCCCAGCGTGTTGCACGTCACCGCCAGGCTCCGCGTCGTCCGCACCGCGCCGCCCCGGTCCGAATCCAGCGCGAGCGTCAGCTCGGGCGACGCCAGCATCGTCTCGACGAACGCCTTGCCCCCGAGCAGCTTCTCCAGCGGCCCCGACGCCTCGCGCAGCTGCTCGCGCACCGCCGTCAGCACCGGCACGAACCCGATGAGCGACGAGTGCAAAAACACCGCTCCGTTCACCGCCCCCGCGTCCACGCGCGCCTCGGCGAGCGATTCGAACAGCGCGACGCACTCCTCGAGCACCACCGGGAACCCCAGATCCCGCGCGATCATGTTCATCGTCCCCGCCGGGAGCGCCAGCAGCGCCGCCCCACGCTCCATCGCCACCGACGCCCCCGCGTTGATCGTCCCGTCCCCGCCCAGGGTCACGATGACCCCCGCATCCGAGCCGCGCAGCGACGCGAGCCGGTCGCAGAACTCGCCCCCCGGGCACACCCGCTCGACCTCCGCCCCCAACGCCGAGAGCGCCCCCACCACCCGCTCCACCCCCGCCTCCCCCGCGCCGGACCCCGACCGCGCGTTGTCCAGCAACGCCACGGAGACACCGTTCCAGGAGAAAGAAGTGTGCTCAGGCATCGACTTGTACGGTAGCAACCGCGACCGTCAGGGAGCGGACTACGCCCCCGCCGACCAGCAGCGCACCATGCACTCAGCAGCACGACAGAGTCCACCGACATCACCGGTCGGTGGACATCCAGTCCGCTCCCTCACGGTCGCGGTTGCTACAGCTGAGCCCCCCGCGCGTACACTTCCCCCGTGCTCCCCCTCACCTTCGAAAACCCCGCATGGCTCTGGCTCGCGCTCCTCGCGGTCCCCGTCGCGGCCTTCGGCTGGCGGTGGTTCACATCCATGAGCCGCTGGCGACGCCTCAGCGCCGTCGCCGCACGATCCGCGCTCATCGCGCTCATCGCCGTCATGCTCGCCGGCGCGTCGATGGTCCAGACCTCCGACCGCCTCGCCGTCATCGTCATCGCCGACGTCTCCGATTCCGTCCGACGCTTCGCACCCTCCGCCGAAGACCCCGCGACCGGACGCCCCGTCCCCGTCACCAAGCGCATGAGCGAGTGGGTCGAGCGCGCCAGCGCCGGACGCGGCCCGGACGACCTCGTCGCCATCGTCGCCTTCGACGGCGCGAGCGCCGCCGTCCTCTCCCCCACCGCCGCGGACCTCGACGACATCGAGCTCGACCTCCGCCTCGCCGAGGGCACGGACATCCAGTCCGCCATCGAGCTCGCCGAGGCCCTCGTCCCCCCCGGCGCCGCGCGGCGCTTCGTGCTCATCTCCGACGGCAACGAGACCGCCGGCGACGCCCTCGCCGCCGCCCAGGAGATGCTCGCCCGCGCCTCCGGCACACCCGCACCCATCGACGTCCTGCCCATCGCCTACTCCGTCGAGGGCGAGGTGATGATCGAAGCCGTCGACGTCCCGCCGCAGACCAGCGCCGGCGCGACCGTCGCGCTCCGCGTCGTCCTCGTCGCCACCGACGCCACCGCCGGCTCGCTCGAGCTGCTCTACGAGGGCCGCGCCGTCGACCTCAACGGCGACGACGCGCCCGGAACCGCCCGCCGCGTCGCCCTCGACCCCGGGC